TTGACACTGCATAGTTTTGTATTTTTCTCACTCTGACACACCTCAACCAGCACAACACGAGCTTGTAAATTAGCAGTTGAGTTCAATCAGGTGTACTAGATCTGGGAAAGCACAAAAATGTGCATACAATTAAGGATTTTTATAACCCCAGGAGAAAGACACTCCAATAATTAACTCATTTTTGAGTTCAGTGGTAACTGTAGGCTAAACTATTCCCTCATGAGGCTCTGTGTATCAATCCCAACTTTTCATTCTCTTGGCTTTCTTATTTCCTCCTCCCTTAAGTTCCAGCTCAAGCCTTCTCCAGCTTTCCTGCCAGACAGCTCTATCTCCCTTCCTGAATTCTCATCATTTCCTTCCATCAATGCTCCAGTCCAATCCATCACTCTCTTCCATGGAGCAAAAACCTACAGTAAGAAAATCCTATCTGGTCCTTTCATAACTTCTATGCAAAAATTAATGGCTGGAGGTTGAAGTTTCTGCCACCTTCTGTGCTACATTAGAACATCTAAACATTGGGCCTCATTCACTAATATCTTCCTAGGTTTTTGAGAAATGTCCTAGGAAAAAATCTACATCAGATTTATGACGTGTTCTTAAACTGCAGAACTGTTAACATCTTTGTGCTCTTGAGAGTGTGTAGATTCTGTTCTTATGTAAGAATCTCAAATAAGAAAACACTGGTGAATGTCAGAATCTTCGTAAAACTGGGTTTTAAAAAGAAATTTCTTCTTAAGAACAGTTGGTGAATGAGGCCCACTGTCTTCATTCGTGGATCATGCTCAGCCTATCTGTATTTGCTTATGACCATAGTAATTTGATGTACAAACCAACCTTTCTATTTACATTTCTTTTCTGTGTGGTCAATTATATTTTCTCTACCAGTAATTTTATCATGACAAGAAAGGGTCACCAGCAAATTAGTAGCTAACTGAAGAGGAGATGTGCTGGGTATTACTGAGAAATATTCCAAATATCCTCTGATTATGGTTGGAAGTCACAGATGAAGGTGGTTGAAGGAGAGTGCCAACTGAATACTATAGGCCTACTGAAAGCAGGGGAGAGGGGGAGTTTCATAAGATGGCATCCAAGAAATCATGTTTTCAAAAGAAATGGGAAATGAAAGTCGATCAGCTTATCTGCAGAAAAGCTTCCTCTCTGCTGCTCAAAAGACCTTACCAAAGCATTTCTTAGAGGCTGTTTGTCTCTAAGCTTTAATATTTTTTTCATCAGAAAAAAAACTTCTCAAATTTCTTCCTGTAAATTCAGCTGATTTAATGTTCAGAGTCTATTATTCACACTACATCAAGTGTTTGTAGTGATAAGAGTAAAATATTTCTAAGGCAAGCCAGCTGAAATCTGAACATTCTCTCAAACAGCCTGAAAATATCCATGACACAGTCAAGTCTGAGTTTTCCCACTGAAGCTGCTCATGTTGAGTTACAGTCCCCTTCAAAAGACCAAAGATCTGAATTTTAAAAACTACTGAATTCTTAATACTAAGCTTTAAACACAACTGAACACAACAATCATAGCACTGAAATATATCTGAAAATACTTTGAAAATCACTGTCTGTGTGTCTGATTTGAATTAACCTTTTTGAAATTCAAAGTAGTTTTATTTTAGCATTCAGAAATTTACATTTTTTTAATTCAAGCTCCCAAAAATCATTTGTTTTCACATATATTTTTTGAGGGAATTAAAAAATTAAAAATCAATAATTCAATATTCAGATATTCAAAAACTATATTCAGCTTTCTAATTTCAGTGCTGATATTCGACTGGTCAAATTCAGCCTGCAAAATTCACTTTCAAAAATACAAATGAACAACATCTGGCCTACCCAAGGATAGGCAAAGGCAACTGAGCCATAGTCTGGTGAACTGATAGCTAGCTGTGGACAAAAGTGAGGAGGAGAAGCCAAGTTTACGATGGCAAGGTAGCTCCAGAAAGTACATGTGCTAAACATTTTTCATTATGTTTACACTGCATTTAAATATTGAGAGGGATGAAGCGTGCAGTGATGGCTGAAACGTTATATGGCTGCCTAATGTGTTGAGGTATTATTAAGTCATAGTATTAGCCAATTAAGTTGGATGACGACAGGTGGTTTGCTTGTTTTCATAGTATTTAAGGTACCCGTTTTTTTTTTCTTTCATTTTGCAAATGTCTCATCAAGGCCCTTTTTTATTCCAATTTGCAACATTTGTTCATTGCTAACATTAGTTGTTAGTCTGTTCCTAAATTGCTATTTATCTAGCTAGCAAATTGAGATAACATGGAACCAGAAAGCTACAAATTTAACAAATTTAGTTTTGTTGGAGCCCTTATTTAGGCTAAATGTCACACAACTTTTGTCAAAAGTCACGCAAAGTCCAGTTTTTGATGCTCTTTATTGTTCTGTGCCATATGTGTTTCTTGGGGAAAAATGCTGAGATTTTGCAATAGTTATTAGAGGCAAAGCACCTCAGGACTTGTAACCCTGTTTAAACTTACTATGTGCAGCCAAAATGTTCTGACTGTAGGTAGATATAGTATAATAACAAAAGTAACTTTGGTGATTAAAAGTAACAACAACATCATGAGTGTATCTTTTTGGATACAATTTAAAGGAAAACTTCACTGCTTCAGAAAGCTTTGGTTTTGCCATCATTACCGAACAAAAAGAAGAAGCTAAGGAACCATAAAGCAAAACCCAAACCAAACAGTCTACTAGCAGACCTTCAGGGAGACAAACTCCGAAGCAAACTCAGACTAAATCAGACAAAGGAAAACTAACACAAGAGGGTTACTTATAGGAATGACAAGACTAGAAACACCAGGGGAAGGAGGGGCAGCCGAACTACATGCAGGTAGGAACAATGATGAAAGGAGGGGAGACAAAGGCAGATGCATAGGTGGAGACAAGAAACCAAAACAAACTGAAGAGCACATGGGGAGACAAAGGCAAGAGCAGGAAAAGGGTAGCAATGACCTGGGAAACCATGACAGATGCTGTGTCAAAACGCTCCTCCATTTAATTTTATTTGCTGTCAATGTAAGTAATTATGCATTGTTCATCACTTGGACACTTGCTGATAATGAAGTGGACTGCAGTTTTTCAGTTTAGACAAAATGCTGCATATCTGGCTGGCTGGCAGTTCATAAGTGTTTATGCATTTACATTTTTGTTCCCAAATAAAAGATCCATCTTTTTGTCAGTTTTGCCATGCAATAATACAAAAACCTATATAAATATAACATTTCAGACTACAAATAGGCTTTTCTACTTGAACTAATGTAACTACTAGCTGCCTAAAACTTAGTTTCATGATATGATTTTATTTGATTAATTTTGGCACGCTCTATTTTAAATGCATGTTTTTATTTACAGGATCTCTTCAAGTTCTGGGACATTCTGCCAAAGAAAATTTCCATTTGGGTGCCGACATGATGTGACACCCTGTGCATTACAGGAGAGTGTACAAGTGAAGGACCGTAATAGGATAAAAATTTTAGTGAGGTTCATTTTGCATAAAAATTAACTATATCTCATAATGAATAAACTAACTGCTGAATATTACACCAACTGTCAGTTTCCCTGTTTTTCCTAAATTATTGCTTCTTTTTACCTATCCATAATTGTTATCCACTTTTTCCTTTCATTTGTTCCTTTCTCATCCCTAAATTATTCCATAAACTGCTATTTCTGCTCTACAAACTGATATAACTCCAGTTACACTGTTTAAGTTTATTTAATTAATTAATTAATTGTAGTTGTTAATTAATTAATTAATTAGTTGTAGTATGAATAACTAACACAATACAACTATAATTTCTCATCTAATCACTAATACAATCCAACTACAGAGCTTGTGGCCTAAACTGAGCAGCTACTGGAGCTAGAATTATGGGGTTTGCATTTTACAATTATAATTTCACTCATGAACTCTTACATGAATATCATAGCGATGTCGTATGTTAGCCTATATAGCCTATGTGTGCTGCATATATATATATACATATATATATATATATATATATGCAGCACACATAGGCTATATAGGCTATATATATATATGCTATGATTTCAAGGGTGTTTAAGGCTTAGTATTAAGAATTTAGTAGCTTTTAAAATGAAAATGTTTTTGTCACTTTTTTGCTTATATAAAGATGATCAGAATTTCAACCTTTGTTTCCTGATATTTACATCTAGATGTGTTAAACAACTACGAACTTGGCACCTTTGGTGGCAGAACACCCAGGTTTTGGGTGAGCAAAAGTATAGGAACAGTCTTCAAGTAAATTAAAAATACATACCATTTAATATTTGGTCACATATCCCTTGCTTGCAAAAGCTGCAACCACTGACATCACCAAACTGTTGCATTCCTCCTTTGTGATGCTTTTCTATGTTTTTATAGCAGCTTCTTTAAGCTGTTTTGGGGGGTTCCTCCCTTCGGTCTCCTCTTCAGGAGGTGAAATGTATGCTGACTTGGCTTAAGGTCTAATGATTAACTTGGCCAATCTTCCACATTTTGTTCCTGATGAAGTCCTTTCTTATGTTGGCAGTGTGTTTTGGGTCATTGTCTTGCTGCATGATGAAGTTCCTCTTAATTAGCTTGGATGCTTTTCTCTGTAAGTTGGCAGACAAAATGTTTCTGTAGACTTCTGAATTCATTCTGCTGCTACTATTATGAGTTACATCATTTAATTATAGGTGCTTTTACTTCTCCTTGAGTCATTTCTCTGTAATGACTTTGAATACCTTCACTATGAGTTTTGGCTATTATACACAACACAAAAAAATGAGAGCACAATTTTTTTAAATGTTCCAGTAAAGCTACTTAAAAAAGCAGACAACAAAATCAGCTGTTGCATGCTGTTCTGTTTTATCATGCATACAGATGACACTGCTGAGTGTTCACTAAGTGACATCACTGCAAGATGCTGATGGCAGCACTTGACAGCATTTATATAGACCCAAGTTTCTTCTCTTCTGTCTTGTGGTGTGCTAGACACAAAGCAACCAAAAGATACCTTTATATTTTTCTGCTTTCAGTCAGAGTGTTTTCCTTTTTGCAGTTATTACTGTTGGGAATCTTCATACAGAGACATTCAAAAGGGGATATCTGACAACTTTGGTCTTTTCTGAAAATTGTAATCAGCACAGCAGTCAAGGTAAGACATATCAACACATTTCGAGTTCAGTACTATAGGTTGATAGAGGACAGACATTTCCATTGTCCCACTGAGCAATCCTACTGTACCTGAGCCTATCATAAGAGTAGTATAGTAACTTAGTTCTTCTAATATTTTGTTGTGTTTTTAATGTTACTTCAGCTTTATTTCAAGGGTATCATACATTTCGAGTGTTGTTTAACGTTTTCCCTGAAAACTTTAAGACACTCCACTACAGTCATCTATAACGACAACAGATGCAATTTGCACAATATTTTTATTTTTTTTCATTATTATTATTATTATTATTATTATTATGTTTTTTAACCTTTACTTATATGTATTTGTAATATAGTATATTAACACTTTTTCCCATTACATGTTTTTTTTACCTGTATTTTTTTCTGAATGCCAATTTTTTTTTTTTCATATTCATAGGTAAAAACATTATGCATGCAAATTTGAAGTTGATACATGCACGAGGAGTATACTAAATAACAAAAAAGTTTTTAAATACTTGGTTCCCTTTACTGTTAGTATAACAACTGCTGTCAGAAGAAAACCTTGTATCTCCAAAATGATAACTTTACAGGAGAACGAAAAAAAAAAAACTTTTAATGTAAGTCAGTGGAACCAGAATTTTTTCCAAGTCGTTTTGGGCCATTTCTTTTGGTCCATTCTTCATGAAATTTACAGACAATGTAAAGGGCAACAGGTATTTTCAAATTATGTCAAAAACTGAAAAACGTCAAAAATGGAGATACAAGGTTTTGTTCCGACAGCAGCGATAACCTGAATTTTGGTAAACTGTTTTGTGAATATCGTTTAAACAGGTTTGAACAGTTGACCATATTGCTCCAAAACAAGATGTATAAAATCAAATGCTTATATAGAACATGCTACACTTTGATGTTGGCATTTTTAATGTAGTCATTTTTAAGTATTGCTCCAAAACAAAATGTGTTGGCAGTGGTTTAAAATCTTCTCTACTTGCACATTATCTTCAAGACAGTGGAATGATTGATTTTTTAATATTTTGGAAACACTTTTTAAACCCCTTCCAAGACTCACACACATGTACAATTTTCTTCTGAAGGCCTCAGAAAGCTCTTTTGATCTAGGTATGATGTTACATACACTCCAATTACAAAGAGCAAACCAGACCAGATATCTGAGGTTTAAATAAGACAAACTCATCCAAGATATTCTTTAATAGTGTTGTAATCATTAGAACCTGAGGTGTACCTGATTTCAATTTGATGCATTTGAAGTAGTGATATATGTGGGAGTGTACTTACTTTTTCCACATAAGAAAGTTGCAGTAGTGTTTATTTCTATTATATAAAGGATGATAAAAAATGTAATTTTAAGTGTCACTTGTTAAATTGTATAACCTTTATGAACACTGTTTAAATGAAGACTTGATATCTGTATCTCCAAATATGTCTAAATTTTTCATGTGGTGTACTTACTTCTTCAAATTACTGTACACTCTGTCTGTACATGGAGCTGCAGCCCCGCCTCCTGTCGCTTACAACGCAACATGTTTTGCTAAAATGGCAACTGAGCTGGTTCACATTTTTGAGAGTGGTTTTGATCAACAAAGAAAACAGTGCTGTCTAGATATACTTTGGCTTCATGAACTGCTGAATGAACTGGGTATGAAAACGGAGATCTTAAGAGATGCTTGCTATCTGAGGCTGGCTGAATTTAGTGTAGTGCAAGGTCAGAACAAACACTGACACTGTTCATGAATAAGTTTATAGATGTTATATATATGTTGTTAGCCTCACATGAGTTAGACAGTCTGTGGCCTAGTTGCGTTTTTTTACTCTAGCCACACGTTTTGTTTGTTTTTAAACAATAAGTTTAGCTCTACCACTTTTGGAGGTGTGGCAATACCCCTGGGCTGATACGTATAGTTGTACTGCTGTTTTATTTCTAATCTCTGCACTGCCTGTGCAAACATGAGCTTCACTTTAGTTTTGAACAAAAAAAGACAAACATAAGGCTCACATGAGCAACTGAGTTTGTCTTGTCAAGTAATTGCATTTGGTTTTGAACAGTCATTGTTATGAAAATAAATTTAATATGCATATTTTTTAATGTGCGATCATAGTTGAGGTGAGCAACATCACAAGTTGCTGTTACAAGCTTTATTTAACTAGTTTACACTTACTATATTCTCTGAAACTGGACTATATTCTGCTCTCACTAGATAAAGTCAGTTGGTAGCTAATTGGCTAACAGTGGCTCAGTAATACTGAGTAACAGGCTTCAAATTCAGATCCTTCGAGATGGAGCCATGGTAAAACCATTAGAATAAAGAATATGTTGCATGCCTATTGCAAGCTTCATATGCCCATGTTTAAGCTAGAATTGGCATCAAATGTGATTACACATTTCAACATTGCTAGATTAGCACTAACAGCATTACAAATTCCCATTGGGATGCTAGCAGAAATTGCATTATGCTAGCAGGTCACTGGACAATGAAAAGCTACTTATAAAGTGAATTATGAGGTTTGTGCATTAAATATTGCTATGAAATAACACACAACTGGCAGATCTTCATGATTTCACAACTGCACCTGGTTCACAGCATAAACAAAACAAATTTCTCCAGCTTTTAGGATACTGTCCACATCATGAGATATGATTTTTAAATGCGTGAAAAATTCTAATGATGTCATACGTCATTCAAGTATTTGCCACTGGACTGCATCTTTAACTTACTCCTTAGGACTGAATAGGCAGGTCAAACATTGTAATCAGGAGTTCTCTGACTCTTCAAACCTTATGGTAATTCTCACTTGAGGGGAACTGTGGAAGTCAAAGAAAGATTTGGAAAACCAAAAAAAGCTGTCAGATAGAACTGCTCATATGCTGGCCAGAAAGGCAAAGCAAAACCCTAATATCACAACCAAGGACCTGAAGGAAAGTATAGCTTACACAGGAGTAAAGTAATTGCATTAACATTTGCACTGAACACAAGCTCTGGTCACACATTTCGTTAGGTTTTCGAAATCTGAAGTGTAATATGTACCAGTTAAGGCATGTAAGGACTATAGAGCTGAATATGTTCTTATGAATAATTCTCAGCCATCTGGTTAATGTTGATCAGGTTCTCTCCTATTTTAGTTATGACCATTTGGCATAACACAGAAGAATGTATAAAATGTCTATTGCTCTGATTCTGAATATTTTGGATTTAGATATACTGGATGTTAATCATGATTACCTAACCTTGTTCCTTGTGAATTACTGCACTGCAGAGAAATAGCTTAATATAGTTTTTAGGTTCATTCAAACCTACAACATGTATCTTCATGAGTCAAAACTTTGGACAATCTTGATTTAATATATACAGTGTATTTAATATATATGCAACATTGCATACAGACAAAGGGAGTCTTGAAGAAAAGGAAAATTGATTTGTAAAATACATTTTTGATTCCTACATAATTCCATATTTTTCTTACACTTTTTGTGAACTGGGCCTGTTCTGAATTCTTTATACATGCCAAAGAGCATGGTAGGATTTTAACTGCTTAATTGCTATTTTGCTAATTCTCATTCTATAGCATGTTATCTACAAAAATAAAACCATACAACCATACATACAAAACCAACCTGGATCACCTGGTAAGCAGTTTTGGACAGGCTCCTTCAACAACCATGCAAACCCAGCTTTGCAGAAAAACTACAGTTCTTACATCACTTCCTGTGTGCTACTTTTTTAACTGTCCCAAGAACAACATTCTACTTTTTCAGAAAATGTAGAGGTTCCCTATTTAAACACTAATGCAAATTGAGAAATGAGAAAAAACAAAGTGGTTTCTCACAGTAACCACTGTGCCTGAAAGGGTTAATTGTATGCCACAGTACACCAGTCTGAAAATATGCACACTTAACAACAATACAATTACACTGGAAAAAACAATTTGTTTTAACATAAAAAAGTAAGAACCATGGCTGACATCAATATCTGAGTTCAATGAACATCAGTAGTAAGTTAATCAAAACTCATGCCTTATATTGTTATCATTTACTATTTTTGATTAAACAAAGGCTAAGTATTTTTCCAATTAAAAACTAATGAATTTATCAGAAGTTAAACTTGTCAATATAAGAAGTGTAGTATGTTGCATAGCAGACACTATGGCTTTGTTCACACTACATGGCAGTGATCAGATTTGTTTCTTATGTCTAACTTTTTAGACTGACTGTTCAGTGACCGGATCTGATTTCTATAGACAGACTGTAGTTGCATTTTTTGGCATATCCACATTTGTTACTGTAGTAATGTTGCAAATGTGCACACACTGACTACATAGGGGCAAAACTTAGCACACCTAAAAATGATAATTAGCTAATAGAGCAATCATGCTATATTTTAACAGTGTTTCAAATGTTACCTAAATGTCTGTTAAAAGCTTCTACTCTACTGTAAGCTGTAATATGTGAATATTCACCGCTGACTTTCTTGTTGCACATTCTGATGTCATGAACTGCAGCATCCAAAATAATGGATAAAAACACATAAGCAAAACAAACTGAGTCACATTTTCTAGATCTGAAACTACCTACAAATGTGACTTGAATCTATTTGGAAAATGTCAGATTTCATGTGGCTTTTTGCCATCCAGACTACAGAAAATCTGTCCTGCATAAGCTGAATAGCAGAAAAATCGGATTTGAGCTGCTGTCTGAACAAGGCCTATATAACTTATTCACACAACAACAACAACAATAATAATAATAATAATAATAGTTTAGCAGACGTTAAATTTTCCAATGTGTAGTATTTTGTGTAGGGGCAAGATATATACATCTTGTTTTTGAGTAACACAGTAAACCACTCAAAATTTACTTAAATTATTCTAAAACTATATATATCATCTATGAAACTTAATTATGTACAACTTGCAGGGGCATAGCTACAGCTTCTACAACAGGGTGGCCAGGTTAAACCCAGTGAAGTTGGCAAAGAAAAAATA